CCTTTTTTCTATAATTCTGCTGGTGACTGTAACTAGTAATCAAGATAGATAGATAGATAGATAGATGGATAGATGGATAGATGGATAGATGGATAGATGGGTAGATGGATAGATGGATAGATCGATAGATGGATAGATGGATAGATCGATAGATATATAAATAAATAATCAATGATCAACCTAGTATGATATGACTGACAATAGATGGTATGGCGAATGGCGGGAAAAAAGGGTTGACGGAATTGATTTTACAATGATTCGCTACGGGTTTCGCATCTAAATTCAATGGGTCTGAGAGATCGACATGAACCCCGCAAACTGCACCTAAGTACTGACAATGATATGTGATCCGGTTCGCGGTTCGCCACATAAAGATGTCTAGGTCAGAGTTGAACAAAAACAATGCCACCAGGAGAGCGTTGAAGGGCTGGTCCTGATGGACAGTGGTCTGCAAGCGATCGTGAAGATCCTGCCGTGCAAAGAAAAATCGGGATTGTCCTGTGCAGAAGGGATGTAAACAGTCCGAGCATAACCAGAACCCGTCGAAAAGAAATCATCTGCATGCACCTACAGTTGTACCTACGAAAACTGTGAGTAGCGAATCGCATGAAAGGTGCGCTGCACGTCGTGAGACAGGATCCAGCAGGGAAACTACCAAAACAAACGCTGAAGACGTGTGGACCATTTGCCAAACGCATGTCACGCAACCTTTCCAAACTGTCCGCGCTCCATCATTTCAAACGATGTCTTTGCACCCCGGACCTTGTGCAACGAACTGTAACCGTGTTTCGCGAGGCCTGGCAGAAACCCACTCACTGCACTCTGCAAGTCTTTCGAACCATCAGCCAGAATCCCATTTCCGCTTTTCAGCTCCCACCTGCATCGAGTTTAGCGATCCGTTCTTCCAATTGTCCCTGGGCTTGGTGCCGAGCCTGAGACGGAAGCAAAAGTCGGGTCTGACAGTCCAACTGCTAACTATTGCTAACTGATCTTATCTTACTGGTTTCCGGTGCTTCAGTTTTGGGGAAGTTTGAGTGGGACCAAGCTTACAAACAGCAAGTAATGATGTTTATGATTAGCTGCAAAATGACACCAAATCTGAAAATGTTTTGATGATCAACAGTCTCCTGCCTCCACATCCTTCAGAAAAGTTGCCTGCAGGTCCTTCTACAGACTCCAGGAGTGTATCGAATGAAAACCCAAAGGTCTGGGTAGGCCAAAATATGGAAAGGTCGACAGACTCTAAGCGCTGACAGTGTTGCAGAAGCGCAAGACGATCAATCAAATATGGCTGGAGCAAAAAAAAATCATGGACTCTGAGACATCACATCACATACTCAGCACTCTCTCTTGACTCCTGAATGTGCAGATGCCACTCTGTCTCCATTGTTCGCATCTGCACAGAAAGAGGCTTGTAACCATTGGTGGGTAACCATCACGTGGTGATCTGTGTTCTTGCTGGATTTTAAATAGACATGTTGCACTGGCAAGCACCTCACTAAATAACATGTTGTAAACTACAGCTGGAATTTTGGAAGACTAGGTTTCCATAGTGACCCCTTAACTTAGGAATTGTCTCAAGCCTTAAGCCTCCATGGTGTTGAAAGGAATGATCATCACAAACCCAGCACCGCATTCATTGAAAAGGGTTGCACCCCTCAACCAGCAGTAATCATGGTTTATTTGTGATTGAAGATGCCTTGTCTACCCATTTGTGATGGTTGAGTTTCATGTTGGGGCACTGTGAGAGTGCCATGACACATCATAGCACTGTGAGAGTGCATGGCCATGTGCTTTCTATCAGCTACTGAGGATCCAGCGGGCCATGTGCAACATTGAAATTGGATGCTCCTTGGCGCAGGGAAATGCCTCAGTAGTCAGTGCTGGTGCAGCCGGGCATTCCCACAACATAACGTCAGGGTGGCACTCTCACAGTGCCTAGAAACATCATGCCATATGGCACTCTCACAGTGCCAGTAATTCACCAGAGCTTTTCCTCGCTCGCAATCTGGCTGCGGAAGAGTAGTGAATCCAGCCGGTATACCCAAAGGAAATCCAATACTGATATTATTTGAATTTCGCTTTATGTGCCAAGAAGTCCATGGTTGACATTTATCACTTCTTTCATAGACATGGACCCCCTTAGGATTTATGCCGGCATGGTATTTCATAAAAATCTGTACAGGTGTAGGGTGATACTGGGCCAGCTTGCTGCCTGTGTCAATGTGGCTTTCATTAACCATGATGATAACAGCCTCAGTTTTGTTGAAATAAGATTATATGTATGTTTGGATGTGGATCAAATGACAGAATGCGCCTTTGGGCAGCATGAGACCATTCCATCTAGAAGATTTATGCTGGCATGATGTGTCTTAAACATCTGTACAGGAGCGAACCCTGCACTAATTGTTGCTGCCACTGCATCGAATGGGAACCATGCTCACAGTTTCGACGTTATTTGCAAAAAAATGTGGTGTATGGTTTGTTGACTTCAATGATTTTTTTCCATCCTGTTGTGCAGGTTGGCAGCAACTTTCAACGCCCCTGGGCCCCGGAATCAGGTTTTTTTCTCCTTTTGATCCGCTTTGGGCTCATCTTTGCTCGTCGGCTTTTTCTCATTTTTGCGTTCCTTCTTCACTCTTTCCAGCTCTTCCTCCAAGGATGCGATCCTTCTTTTCAACTCCTGCCCAGGGGTTTTGAAAGCTACAGGAGGTTTAGGTGCATGAACATGAGCCTGCTAAACCTATAAGTTAGGCATTAAAAGATTGAACATCACCAAAATAGTTGGTCCAAAATCCTGTCCTTGCGTTTGCCTTTGGCGCTCTCCAGCTCTGCATTGAGCTCCTTGTTCTGCATCTTCAGTTTGGAGACCTTGCCCGTGAGTTCATCTTCCATGGTGTCCTTCTGCTTGCGGATCCTCTCGACCTGCTCTTCAAGCTCCTGGTGAACACCGGTGAAACAGTGCCAACATGAAAAAAATAGGGGCCTGCACTCTCACAGTGCTAACATAAAACGGGCACTCTCACAGTGCCAATGTGAAAACCAAAACATGGACCAGCACTCTCACAGTGCCAACGTGAAACCAAAAATGCCCCAAAAAAAGACAGAAAGTGGTCTCCTTATTCAGCAGGATAAGCTTTCGATACCTTGATTCATCTCTGGCATTTTGTGCAGGCCAGTCATGCCTGTTCTGCTTCATGCCCCCTTTGCTTTTGCCTTTGCCCTTGGCAACCTCAGCCTCTTCCTGCGGCTGGCGTGGTTCTGGTTGGTGCCACTGCTGTGGCTGTTGCTGCCACTGCTGTGGCTGTTGCTGTTCAGCCCGCATTTGCTGCTGTGCTTGGTATGCCAGCAGCTGTTGTTGCTGCACCCGCTCCTGCTGTTGCTGCTGCAGCAACAGTTGTTCCTGTTGTTGTTGTTGCCACAGCTGCTGTTGCGCCTGGTTCTGCTGCCACAGTTGTTGCTGCTGCTGTTGCTGTAGCAGCTGTTCTTGCGATTTCTGTTGCAACAGCTGTTGCTGCTCTTGCTGCTTCTGTTGCATTTGCTGTTGCTGCAGCTGCTGCTGCCGCAGATCATGTTGTTGTTTTTGCAGCTGCTCTTGCTGCTTTTTCTGCTCCTGCAGATCGCTCTCATGGGCCTGTTTCTGAAACTTGGCCAGGATCTCATCGTGCTCTGCCTGTGCTTTTCGCATCTGTGCCCGCTTCGCTTCATACCTGGCCTTCTCTGCCTCTTCTGCCTCTTTCTTTGGGTCCACCTTCCCCCATTCCTGCCATGACCAACCCCAGTTGTCATGATCTGAGGATGACACAACATCACTCTCACAGTGCTCTCAGTCAATGACACCTAGCCGTGTGGTACTCTCACAGTACCTAGCCTGCACTCTCTCAGTGCTGTTCTGCACTCTCACAGTGCTGCACTCTCTCAGTGCTGTTCTGCACTCTCACAGTGCTAATAGCCATGTGCTCTCACAGCACTTGCCTTTCAATGTTTGACACTCTCACAATGTCAAACTGACCTGCCTGGAAGTGGTAGCACTGGTTCCTGACATGCCTGAGCAAACCTGATCTGCCAAGATTAAGGCTACATTACATAATGCTAATTTAACTACAATAAAATAATAGAATTTTATTCCTAGGTCGAAACCTTTAATCCTGTTTAACAGACATTTTCAAACAGGGTTTTCAAAACGGGCCAGTAACATACTTCATTATAGTCATTGGGATATTTACTGACACAGTGGTGGGCTTGGTTTGCATTCAATATAATATGACCCAACCTGAAATTTAGACATGGCCATATGGCATCTAATGTCGCCAGGCTCTTGAGCACACACGGTCTCACAGTGATGGGTTTGCCTTGAGCCGATGACGCAATTTGCCAAATCTATTGGAAGAGACGCGCTCTCACAGCACTCTCACAGTGCCTATCCAAATCTACACACCCTCACAGCAGTGATCAATATCATGTAATTAACCTTATGATGTTTTCAGTTTTTTCATTATTTTCTTCTCTGATAGTTTTGTACTTTTCAATTTTTCCAAATTTTCACTCATCCAAATAATTTCATTGATTTTTCAGACTGTTTATAAATGGACACAGACTTTTTATAACAACAAAGCCTTAGAAATGGCCCCGCTCCCCAGGAATCAACGTTGCCACTCACAAAAGCCTTGCTGCCTTGGGGGTGCCGGGGGTTGCGCCCAGGGTCCTGTACACTGCCGCTGGCTGTGCATATGTCTTTGCATTGCTTGTGGCAGTCAAAGTTCAACCTCGCATGCTTGCTGCAGAACAGCACGGGCATCCCTGCACCTTTTGAAACGTGCCTTTGGCTTGCGCTGCGACGCGGGCCCATTTTTGGGGCTGTGGGCCTGCATGCTTTTTGCCTTCCTTCACTGCGTACCCTGCATGTATGTATGTATGTATGTATGTATGTATATAATATATATATATATATATATAAAGTATTGAATCCAAGGCTGCCCCAGGAAGCTGCAGGGGAAAGCCTTGCTGTTCGCAGAAATCTGGGCGAAGTCGTCAGGGGACACCATTTTTCACCCTGGCGGCCATGGCGCCGGCCGGCGGAAATCCTGCACCACTACGATGCTATAAGTTGCTATAAGTACCATAAACCATAGTTGAATTTGATGATTTCGAAAGGTGGTGATGTTCATAGCTTTGTCCCATTAGATCCCCATTGATGGTTGCTTTAATCCCCTAAAAAATGTGACCCCTACAATGTGGGACCCCCGGTTATAACTTGGTTTTGGTTTGTAAAGCGCAATAATTATAGCTATAAGAACCATAAACCATATTTGTTGGAGTTATACTAAACCAACTTAGCTATCTAGGGGGCCCCACTTTGAAAAACATGTGTATTGCCCCATGATGCTATTTCTCTCTACTGTGGATGGTTGCGAAATCCTGCACCAGTTGGTAGCTCTTAGGTGACTAAGAAACATTGTAAATACTGGGAGTATAATTTTGTATGTTTACCACCTATCAACTGGTGCAAGATTTCTTCCATCATCTTTCATCCACAAAAAAACAAGGTTTGAGAACCCTCCATGGATATGGAATTTAGGCCATGGACCACCAAGCAGGAGATATACTGCTGGTTTTATAGGGTCTTACCAGACATGAGACCCTAAACCAGCAAGACATAAAGAACGACCCAACAGAAATCGTGATATGACATGATATTACCATACATTACCAGGGAAACTGATTTTGTAGGAAAACACTATTCAACCCCTCAGCCTCAGGAACTGCGCCGCAGCGCGAATGGCACATGCATGGCGCGATCCCAAGAGATCCGATTCTGAGATGGTTAAGATGGTCAAGCTGTTGAGGATGGTTTGGGCGCAAGTTTGGCTACAGGAATTTCAGGACTTGTATGTTGAATTTCATCTTATTTCCTAGCATTCTTATGCATTTCTTCCACTGGACGCATGGCTTTAGTGCCAAGGATCCACTTTGTTGATTGATATCAATCACTTCTGTTTCCACTACTCAAATAGCAGTTCCCTGGTGACAACGAAGCTTTGTCGACATCATTCTCAGTGGCTTTAAGGGAAAAATCTGCAGGAAACCATGGTTCTTTGTTCTTACCCTCCAAACCAAAGGGGGTCCAGTAAAACTGTCCCATCACCCAATTCTGGGACGTCTGGGCCACCCCAAGCAAGCCCGAGCCGCAGGTGATTTCAAAACTTTCTGCCCGATTATGGAAGCCGTCTTTAAAATCGCCCATGAAACATGGGCTAACTCAGCGGAAACCTATTGGAAGTGGGAACTATGGTGTCAAAGTGTGGAAAAATGTACAGTAGCATTCTTGACAAACCTTATTGCGTTCTCTTGGATATGCAAAATTTCATGGTGGTGTCTGGCACTGGTCCCAACCACATTTTCCTCAAGGGGTATGTTCCAAGCCCCCCCTTGAGCGCTGCTGGGCACTGGCCCGAACTTACCAAAGAATCGTCGGAGACGCTCCTGACGACGGCAACGGATTTCTGTGGGTTGCTGGGGATCTGTCAAGTCATGAACTTACCATTCCGGAGCCACAAAATCGTCAATAAGCATAGGTAACTTTAGAATCTCAGCTCACCCTCATCAATTTGTCTCTGTGTGTCAATCAGTTTGACATAGTTTGACAAATACTCCTCTTTTGCTGCTTGCTTGAGGGCAGGATTCCCATGGTGAATTCAAACACGTGGCCGATTTTAACTTGTTACCGTAGATGTAGATAGTACAGTGCAATCTCACTAACATAAACTAGATAGATGTAGATAGTACAGTACAATATCACTAACAAGCCATGAAACAGGATGAAACAGGTTCAAGCAAATTCAAGGATTTTGGGACGTTTTGGGGATGGCTCCAATGCGACTCCCACGCTCCAGGTCACCTGCACGTACTCGGGCGTTTTGCCCAGTGGCATCCCTTTGAGTTCCAGGGTGTTCTCTCCATAGATGTGCACGGCTTCGTAGCCTAACGCCAGGATTAAGCATCATTTTCCTGAGAAAAATATTGCAGTATTTTGAGGTATCCCGGTATCCCCATCAGACCATCAGATAGACCCAAACAGGTACCGGCCTCCATAACGACTGGACATGGAAGTCTTGCAAAATGCCAGGATTTTGGGAGCAAAATGCCATGATCAGCGCGCCCCAGAGGCAATATCTCTCTGAAGCCCGAGCATCATTATCACCATCCTCATCCTCATCCTCATCCCGATGACAATGAAAATGGTCAGAATTTGAATGATTGATAATCATAATCACAATAACAATAATTTCCATATATTTACAGGGTTAGCAATAGACATTATAATTGAATCAACATTATTTACACACATTAAAACCATGATCATCTGTTTGAACACTTGAAAACTCAGTGATCATCATCATCTGCCCCTTTTTCTACATGGGAGATTTCAGGCGCCGACCATCTTGAGGCTCATCAGCGTACCAATCGATGGTTTTTCCACTCACCTGCGAAACCTGAGTGACACTGGCTCCTGATTATTTCGTCAGTTGGCTGTGTCTGAAATTTGTGAAATCCCATCCATGGTATTTCGATAATGGGGAAAGTGATGATGAACCCAGGAATTTAGGGGTACCCAACTTTCAGATTTTGAACCCCTTAACTTTGGTTTATGCTAGATGCATCCATATATAGTGGGATTTCTACACCAACTTATAACTGGGGAGGGGAATTGCACTAATCGTCCATTCTTTGCAACATCTATAAAAAACTGAGAGACACTCCACAAACTTAGGGAAGAAACATAAAGAAATATCATATGTATATATATATATAAATATCTATGTAAGAAAAACATATATATATATATGTATATATATATATACATACATAGTAACCCCGAAAGAGATAGAAACATAACGTATCACTATCACGAAAACATGCTAGGACTTTAATTTCCTATCTCTTTGGAGCTGATTCTCCTCGAACACCGGACACATCCGGACACTCCGGTCGTCACTCCGGGGCTCCGGACGGCAGGGTAGTGGTACAAGCTATCAACCTGAACAGGACGTTTCTTGGAGCGTGTTCCGATGGGGATTTCCAAAGTCATGGGGGTACCCCCATTTATGGCTGGTTTATAATGGAAAATCCAATTAAAATTGATGATTGGTGGCACTTTCATTTTAGGAACCGCCACACTTTAACCAACAATATGTATCAATATGTCTGATAATGGGTGATTAACCACCAAATGGTCATCAAATCAGATAATCATAGGGAAAATAGGGAAACATGATGATAAACCAGCGGACGGTGTCCTATCTGCAGACAAATCCATGCAATTTCTATTCTCAGCACTGGATTGTATCATTGCAAGGTTCCAAGACTGATACACGCTATATTTTTATCATTTTTCATGTATGAACCGCATGATGAACGTAATGTCTTGAATTGCAGCAATGGAATAGCTACTGCACACTTCTTCAAAGGATCTTCAAATTGTAGGATTTTGTAGGTTTGATATCTTTGTATATGTTATTCTGTGCATTATCAGTCGCCTTTAGACGTTGCCAATCATGTTCCAACACTCCTTTTCACAGATCCTCCTCCCATCATCAGCTCGCCTCCCGCACGTAAGGCACGGAGAACTGCCACCTGGAGTCAGGGAGAGTCTCTTCCAAAATAGCAAGATGCCATCAACTATGCCATCAACATATAAATCTGGTTGGTGGTTTCTGTGGTTATCCTTGATATGCCCACCCACAAAGGCGAGTACAGCTACCATTCAAAGCTGCCTCTACCAATGTGACGCGTGCACCTTGAGGCTGTGCACATCACCTTTCGCACTCCCCCCAGCCTGCTGACCCACCTGGCAGCAGGCTGCCTTGGACATGATGGCACAGTTGCCCTCCTGCTTCGCTGGGCCGCCGGGCTTGAGCCACCGCACCGGCTGTTAGGCGCTGATCCCCCCCCAGGAAAGATGGTCCCACCTTGCAATTTCGCTGTAGCTGCCACACTCCCCCGCCGTAGTAGCTGCCATGCTTACACCTTGCGCCGCCCACATACCTGTCACAGACCCCGTGCCGCCCACAGCCTGTCACACCCAAGTTGCCACCAATCCCGGATCAACCTTGAGCGTTGGGCTCATAACCTGTTCGGCTATGAGACCCAGACCACACCCTCCAACCTCGGTGTCCTTGGCGACGTTAAGCACTTTCAACTCTCTTTCCAAAGTCCTCCAATGGATACGTCCTCAGGCCCTCTGGCCTTTTGATCTGAAAAAGGGCTATGCAATGCCCAGGATTCAACAGTTGGAAAATGTGACATGTATGTATGGGGCGCAACATGACATGTAAATGGGTATGTCTTCGCAGTTTCAACCCCTCTGAAAAATATTAATCAGTTGGGATGATAATTCCCAATATATGGAAAAAAAAGGTTCCAAACCACCAACCATACATTTAATGACCGGGTTCAATTGGAATGTTGATGGCATAGTTGATGCCATTACCTACTATGCCATTTATAGATGAGTGGCAGACAAAATTACTCACTACTCGCAATGGACATGGCCAAAGTGGGGTGGTCCCCTATCGGTTGTGAAGGTTTGTGCTTGAATGCTATGTGTAAAGATAGGGTATCGGTCAGCGGGTGGTCCCCTATAGGTTGCGAAGGTTTTCGCACAAATTTGAACATCCCAAGTCCACTCCCTACTACTTTAGTCTTCCGCTCATTTTGTCCTCAGATAATTTCCCATTTAAACCTTTCATACCTTTTCAATTTGCCACCCTTGATTCCTGGAGGGTATTTCAAAATTGTGTTATGTTGACATGATATTGTGAATGGCTGCCACAACAGTAGCCACAATTATATCGTAGGCGCCACCCCTGAATAGAATAAAGACAGCTTTTGATCTACTTAGCAGTATTGGTATGTGGATAATAGCCATGGTGCAGCTCACGTATATATAAATAGGATAAACCATGATAAACCCGGTTCTGTACTGGTTACTCACTTCTTACCAACATCCAAGTACTGGTTGAAACTCTTCTAACACTGTTGGTTAGACAATCCGTACCCAAACCAATTATAGAAAAAAAACATCTCCGAAATAACAGTTGCTTCATGGATGTCCAGTGTCCAGTTCATGGAGCATGAGAATCGCCAATTTGTTGGGTAGTAGTAACTTAGTATAACCCGAAAAAAACGGAAAACCACAACAACAACAACAACAACAACCAGCCGCTTTCTGGATTGCATCCCCATTGTTGATGGTGGTTCATAGAAACAACTGATGACATTTCCAACAAACTAAATCCCATCGACCTACCATGATTTCAAGTGTTTTAGTTAGTTTGGTTAATGTTGTTAAAACAATCATAAACCATCCCCAGGTCATCACCATAAATAGGTGCTATAAACCATTCCCAGTCATGGGTGGTTTATGACATTGTTCTAACATGTTTTAAACACAATAAAAACATCCCCAAATAGATGGAAAAGTAAATCCCTACTAATTTGATGGTGATTTACTTTTCCATCTATTTGGGGATTACTATATCCTGGTTACATACCACTTCTTTGTATAACCCGATAAGAGCAGCAGCCGCCCTGAGCGTCCGACTTCATTTTGGTGGCGCCCACTTTGGGTCGATAGAAGCCCGTGCGGTTGAACATGCTCAGCCCGGGGCGGGGTTTCCACCTGCCGTGTGGAAACGAAAGTGGGCTTCCCTTCGGGCTCCCAGATATGGCCATTGTTTGAAGTACGGAAAGTGATGATCAACTTCTGATCAACCATATTATCAGGATATCCTGTGTTCAAAC